AAGCCAGAAAAATTTTGAGAGCTAAGGGAATTTGTCTACTTTTTGCACGTTATTAGTTTATATTCTTTGGTGCATTATTTAATCAAATACAAATTATTAAATACATTACTGTTAGTACTATAAAAAGTTAGGGTTAACTCTCTTCGAAACCCGATGGCAATAAAAAAGAAGATTAGTTAAGTATTTTATTTCTTGCTTATTTATTATTATAAAGGTAACTAAAATCTAAAAATAGGATCTTTATAAGTTACTTAACACTAGATTAGATAAAATAAGTAATAATAATAATATAATTAAAATGGTTCATGAGACATGCAGCTTGTGGGTGATGTAATTCGCTAGTGTAACATGAGATGCATGTTCTCCGAGTGATTTAAAATTTTTTATGCCATGGAAAGTAAATAGATGTATAATTTTATGAACTTAGAGCTACTTAGGATAAACAAATGTAGTTTCATGTTACAAATTGAAGTCATTCTAGAAAAAAAAAACGTTAATTTAGGTTTATTTCAAATTTTTTGGTGGTTACAAGGTCCGTCAAGTTGATCGATCCATTTTGAGATAGGGTAAAGAAAATAATAGATAAACTATAAAGTTTTACTGAAAAAAAATGCTTGAAATACATTTAGGAGGTTTTAGAGATTACATGAAGGAAATTTGAGATTTTTGAGATGAGGAAAATTATTTTTAATTTTAACATGAAAATTACTTTGTACACAGACTATTCAAAATATATACTCAATTTATTTATGGACACATCTTTATTTTATTAAAAATACTTCACTAAGAAATATGACTTTTTGTATATGAAAGGCTTGAAATATTAACTGAAAGACTCCTAAATTTTGTGAAGATATACCAACTATATTGAGAGTTATAAGTATTAAATGTATAAAGACTTTAAATGAGTACAAAAAGGTCACATGGTCATTCAAATTGACCAAGCCCATGTTGAGTGTTAAATAATCATTTCTTTTTGTCAAAGTCCCCACAGGCTGGTTCAGTTACTTTAGAACACAATTGACAAGACAAATTATTATAGTCTGCTCTGTTGTTACAATACAATCTGTGATAATTTCACTTATGTTACACTGATGGTTACCACAGTTTGTATCCAGAGCTTTAAATAATTGTATCTTTTCCTAAAAAGTCCAAACAAGTTCCTTCAATTACTTTAGAACACAATTGATAAGAATATTATTCTTTTCTACTCTGTTGTTACAATACAATCAACAATAACTTCACTTCAAAAAAAGCAAAACTATACACTCTTTATGGCTTAACATACAGTCTAAATCTATTTGACTATATCTCTCACTAAATTTGTCTTACTTGAACTACATTTGGGATGAGTATCTATAAATAGCCCATCTAAGGCCTAGAACTTTCCACACACTATGAGATATCATGATGTAATAATACTAGAGAAGAACTTAGAAGGTTCTAGTAACATGATGCAATGATTCAACAATCACTAATTTATGACAACTGAACTACATAATGTATGATTAACACAGTTACATAAACAAACCTGCAATAATCTATCATTTTTAAAATAACTAAATTTAGCACTCATGCTATACTCAAATTAAAACAGTTGTGTATATCTAATAATGTATGTCAATAAAATTGGCATTAAAACATTGTTTATAATTCAAATTTTAATACCGTATATGCTTAAACTTCTTAATTTGAAAAAAAATATTAAAAACAAAACACTAAATACCCTTCTTTATGTGTCACATGGCATGTCCTCTTGTCTTATTAGTCAGTTCATATTGTATTATACCTACAATACAATGTCTATAACAAATAACGAATTAGAAATTCAAATTTGAGGCACTGAAAAGTTAGAATATGAAATAAGAACCTCTTACCTTTTTTATTTCCTGAGATATCAATATATTTAGCAAACCTCCCATTACTTCTTTTTTTAAAACTCTTGACAATTCACACGTACTTCTCAAATACATGTTTATAATTAACAGAAAGAGCACATTCCAAGCTATGTAAGTACGATTGTCATTTCTAACTGGGTTGAAGGGGAAAGCCAAAGCTTTACTGGAAATGTTGATGTCTGTTGACTAAGTCATTGTTCTCAACATAAATGATTTTTTTAAACCTACATACAGCTTAGTTAGAAAGCCAGATAAATTACAGTGATTATATGCATGCCAGAATAGTAATTTGATAACTGTTTTGAATTTCTAAAATGCACCTTTAACATCTACAAAAATTATTTTGGATTCCCACTTCACTTGGGAGAAAAACAAGACTTACGGTGATGCTTAGCAAGTAAGATGCATGGGTACAAATCAATTTCGGAATGTTGCAAGTACTAAAAATCATTGTTTTTCAATATAATTTTTATTTATTGTCTGTGTTTTAAGAAAAATAACTAAAATTAAGTATTTATAAGTAAATAGTAATACTATATATACATGTTCATAAGCACTTACTTTGTACACCTATACTGCTAAATTGCAACCATCCCAGGAGGATAACTAACATCTAAATACCTACCACATTTATTGGATCAGACCAGATTTTGAACAGAGCCTTATCATAAACATTTTCTCACACTTTAATACTATGGACAATTCTTGTAGCAACCACTGTATTGTAAATAAGCCAGATAATCTTCTCCCACTATGCTTTCAGGGACAGGATTACAATAAACTCTGTGGGAATCATCAGCTTATTGCACTCCACATGCTCGCTTGCTATTGACTGTGCCATATTATGGTGTCATGTTAACAATCTAATGGCAGGAGCAGTGATTCACTGCTTTAAGTCCCTAACAGTAAAATAAACATTAAAATAGATGTGAAAAGGTTTGAAGTAGAAACTCCCAGAAGTACCTTGGAATTTCATGGTGAATACTAAAAAGGATAGAGCAATCACTTTGACATTTTAAAAAATTTGTTTTTTTCTTCGTAAAATTAGCCAACTAGCACTATAGCTTTTGTATTTAAGGAAAAACCATTGTATCTTAGTTTGTCACATTCTTCTATGGAACACATATATTTGATTTGAGCATTTCAAAAATATTTTCATTAAACTCTAAATCTCTAATCTTTGTTGTTTTGGACAGATTTTTAGACCATTAGAGATTACATATTTTATGGTGGTTATGAGTTCAGTCAAATTGGCAGAAAGTGTATAGAATTAGGGTAGATAAGATAACAGATAAAATATAGTTTTCTGAAGTAACTATTTGTTATTAATTTAGGAGGTTTAAGAAATAATACAAATGAAATCTGAAAATTTTCAGATGAAGAAAATGTTTTTAAATCTTAACTTGAAAATCACTTTGCACTTGAAGCAGTCAATGCTCTGAATTCATACATTCATGGACAAATTTTTAGTAAAAATAATTAATTAAAACTTCTGATTTTTGTCTACAAAAGACTTGTAATGTTTACTAAAATCTTAAAAAAATTTATGAAGATACACAAAACACGTTAAAAGTTATAATATGGAAACTCTGACGTTCACTTTGGGGTTACATGGTTGGTGTTATCAACTAAGGCAGTAGCAAAAGGGTTAAATAATAATGACATCTATACATGTTTTTTTATGGCACTAATTTTGAACTTCTAAATAGAGGAAAGACAAACAGCTGGGAGCACTTGATGCTAAACCTTTTTGTTATTAGGTTACTGGCTATATGGATGGCTACTGGCAGGGCAACATTTGTTACCACTATTTTATTTTGTTTGAGAAACACTGTAATAATCAATTAATTGAATGTAATTGATTAATAGGGCCATTAATTAATCAAGTAGCAAATACCACTAACTGCTCAGCTTTAATGGATATTGATGAGTTTACCATCTAATTTTTTTCATTGTGACTGAAGCCTTTGGTGTATGTTTCCAATAAAAAATAGTGACATGGAAAGATTTGTATTTTCACCAACAACCCGCACATGATTCTTTTGCCATTAAATGATCATGAAGAGAGCACAACTAAGTATACATCTACTTCCTCATTTTCAAACTTCTTTTCCTCAGCAATCATGCTCAATATACATGCAAAAACAGATAAGCTGAATAGTTGTCTTGGTAATATATTTCATCACTCTATTTCTTGTTAGTAGTATTAGTGTAATGACATTTTAAACTGTCTGATGGTTATCTTTGGTTTATACACATATCTCAAACTGCTCAAAGCTGTAGGTGTGGCACCATCAAATTGGATTTCAGCACATTTTTATAATATAAAAGATTCAACATCAAATATAAGCCATACTATAAATTGAGGTTGAACCTCTTACATACCTGCCAAATGAGTTGCCTAGTTCCTCCTACTGTTTATACCCTTATTTAATAATGTTCATTAGCAAGCTGTTTTAAACTACCAAAAAATAAAATAAACTTACTTCAGATAAGTTTGTAATAAATAACCTGTCTACTACTTGTATATAATAGAAGACTAATAAAGTGTTAGCTGTGCTCTGAATCACTAGAAATGCTCTAATCATCAACCCATCATTAGTACCCTTGCTGTATGGAACAACTGTCATACCATGTTGTTGCCCCCCCACACAAAAAGTACGATTCCACAGAATATCTTTCATTTTTTTTATGTTTTGGTAGTGTTAATAAAGGAATAATGGAAAATATCAGATATTGATGTTTGATATCACTTTATTTACAAAAAATACATGATTAAAAAGGCATTTTTTTTTATCTAAGCATCTTCCTATGAATTATGGACATAGGGTTAATAAAGCAAATAATGCTTCATAGTAAAAAAAAAAGAAATTTTTAATGGCTTAATTAAAATTAGAATAATCTTAGATATTAACAGTTATATAATCTTACATATAAATACATATCACTCAGCAGTAACTCTTCTGTTAAATAAAATAGGATCTTCACAAAACATCAAGTATCACATTTAAACTGAGAAAAAGTTGGGTTTCATTTTCAAACACAGTCTCCTCCCATAATTCAGTAATGTGCATAAAGGAAACAAAACTCATTTACACTTACCATTATTCAGTGAAACCACTTTGTCTGCCCAAAATAATGCTGTATGATAATGATGCTGTGAAAAAATCAGAGAGAAACAACAGAAATAATAAATAGGCATGCAGGTCACATGTAGTTAAATTTACATCTCATATAAGAAAGATATAGAGATGAAAGTGTCTAAAGAAAATTCATTGCAAAGAGAGTAGGAAATGGAATCTGAAAGGCTGAGTAAAGAAACATACAACTTTTATTAAAACTGTATTAAAAAATGCATGGAAGTTAACCTGAACAAGCATTAACATTGTTCATAATAATAGTTAAACCATTTTGATCACAAAAAAATTACATGTTATGCAAATTAAACATAATGAATTATAATAGTAATTTTAATATCATGAATTAAATTCACCCCAGAGATGAATACTAAAATCATAACCATTGGCTCACTATGGTGATGAAACAGCTTAAAAATATTTAAAAAGAAGAATGATTTAAATGTTTTAGTTGATTTTTCGATAGCTCTACTGCCATGAAAGTGCAATAACTTGACTGAAATTCATAAATAAGTTATGGTTTGGCATTAAAATTGGCACAAGTAATACAGGAAATCCTTCAATTTATCAGTAACATATTTTTAGAAATAAACTTGCAGTAAACTTGAGTAAATACTTAATAACAATATATTTTTCAATAATTAATATTTGTAAACTTCTTTTCACCCAGGTTTACAATGCAATGAACAATGTTGGGCTTAGGTGAACTGTGACAGTAATAATTATCAAAAAACAATGTTAAGGTATATTCTGTTTATGCATTTTTCAAAAAACTAGTAATTTTATAAATAGCTTTCATGTTTCAAAAGTATTGATAAAATTGTTGAAAAAATATAATATTTTACTTAATAAAACTTTAAGTATTTATAATACCTTCCTAATTAGACATAAGAATAAAAACATTGTGGCAATTCAACTGAAAGATTTAATAGACACTAAAAATTCCAAATATTGTGCTATACAAATCTGGTTTTCAACATTGAATTTTTAATCAATTCTTACAAAGTGTATTTAAATCAACCACAATTACAAATTTCTATACCATGCATATTTTGAGAACTTGCAACTTTAAAGAAATTTACACATTCTTCTCCAAGTCTTTCTTACAGAGAAAGTGGTTTATACATAGCACATACAGTACTGATAATTGTCCCTGAAATAAAGTTATAAGCTTATCAGTAAAATTATGAACATGAAAAAACTGTCTTACATGATGCCACACGTAATTAAATAGTATGTGTTATATTAAATCTTGAAAAGATTCCTTCTGCATAAAATATTACACAGAAAAAAAAATTAGGATATACACATCATTATAGCATGAACTGAAAATATTGACATTCATAAATATCTTTCAAAATATACATATGATGTTACTGTAATAAAAAGGTCAAATTAATATGTTGTTCATCATGAGTTACTGATAATTTATTTTACTTGGAGAACAGAATAATGATATAAAATTATGTTGAAGATAGGAACAATATTCCAGTAACAATTCATAGTAACATAAACTAAGAGCAAGGGGCATGATCTATCTAAGCCATTCCATCCACTAAAGTTAAAAAAAAAAGACTCAAAACTAGCCCTGATCATTCAGATAATTGTCAAGCTTTCTCTTAAGCTCTATTAAGTATACTGCATTTACCACTTATAAAGGTAATCCATTCCAAAGGCCAACTACACTGTTTAAAAATAAAATAGTCTTAGCTGAAGATGACTCCTACCCTGCCAAGATTTATATGTGTTCCCTAGTTCTACCTTTCTCATCATTAATTATGAAAAAAGATGATGCATCAACACCATCAATTCTTTAACAGTCTTAAACACCTCAATCAAATCTCCTCTAGATCTTTTTTTTCATGAAAAAACAATGTTAGAGGCATTAACCTGTTTTCATATGACAACCTTTCCATCACAAGTATCATCCTAATAGCCTTCTTCTGAACCCTCTCCAACAATCATTGTCTTCCCTAGGCTAAAACTGAACACAATATTCCAAATGTGGCCTAAACAATGACTTTTGCAATGAAACTATAACATTTTTAGACTTGTAATCAACTTTTCTGTAGAAACATACAAATTATATTTTCCCCTACTACTAGCAACAGCACACTGCTCGAAGAGCTTATGAGACTGATCATCCAAAACACCAACATCCTTTACTCCCTGACAATATTAAAGTTATTCCCATCAAAACTATATTTTCAAAACATAAACTTTTGTTTACAAAAAAATACCTTTTGTGTCACTACAGGTCATTAACTGCTTTTTATAAGTAGCTAAATTTAAAATTATAATTTTATTCAGTATACTAGGACAGAAAGATGACAGCTGGGCTTGTCTCAACTTTCTCTTGTTGCACTTGAATAAATTTTCAAGAGAAAGGGAGGAGGATGGGTATATATAACTACAAAAGAACTATAAAGGTAGGATTTGTAGTTCTTTTAAGATCATTTAGTTTTATTTTAATTTTCTTTTGTAAGGATGGAGGTTGGAAGTAGAGTAGAAATTTTAGGATGGTTTTATTTCTATTTTAGGAACTTTAAAAACATTTTAAGGGTAACTGCCTTCCCACAACTGGCTGCAGACAGTGAAGAGCAGTAGGAGGTGAGACGTTGTGGGTGTAAGTACTCAACTCCATACCCATAATAAATTAATTTTCCATGTTAGTTGGCTCGTTTAACAACAGTGTTTGGATTTTGTCTGATAAATGGGATATCCCCAATGCATTTGGGAGCTATTACTACAGGCATTATCCACTATGGCTTTAAGGTAAATCTAGGAATGACAACGGTAACTTAACAAACAACTCTTTAATGCTTATTTTATATAAAGTTCATTATTGTTTTATAGTGCTGATTTTAATTCTTCATTAACAATTAATGTAATTAACAGTATTGGAGCTACCTATTTCATTATATATATATATATCTCAACAGCAGACACTGAGAAGGGGTGGATGTGATTAACACTTGCCATACCACCACTACTTAATGTAGATGATGTAATGCAAGCATGCCAGATGTGTCATATACATTCCAATCTGTAGGATCTCATTCAGGGATCAACACTGATGAGAAGCCATGAGACGACAAACTTGATGGGAAGTGACACGATAGTTTACAGGCATCCTCACCCAAAACATAATACACCAACTTGATGAGTTGATGAACCTACCTGATTAAAGGTGACAAATCAGAAGAAGAGAAGGTATCCCACAGCAAGAACTGGTGTTGGCAGTTTCCACAGATAACAGTGAACAGTATGAACTGAACATAAAAAGTGATCTGAGTTGGTAAGATTGTATAAATGAAAGAGAGTGATGGGAAAAACATTTGATCATCCTTCCAAGCAGCCCATGTCTTTGGGAGAAAGAAGTTGTTTGGAAAAAATCAACTGATCTCTGTGATAAAGAGTGTAGGAGGTATCCAATGCACAAATGTCTAATAAAATTACCCACAAGCAAGCTGGAGAAAATACATCTTTAGGGACAGATGATACATGGAACAGGAGGCTAAAGGTACACAGAGAGAACTTGGAGAACAAAGCAGAGGTTCCAGTCCAGTAGAGGGATGACTGATGAGAAAAGCCTGGAAGAGGTTCTTTCAGAATTGGGGAATGAAAGGAAGAAGAACCAGGTAAGAAATGAGAGGTGGTGGTCAGTGTGGAAACTCAGCAAGAATGAGACAGGAAACTGGCTACTGTGCATGAAAAGCCCAACAGTCATGCAAGAGACTAGACAAATTCTATGTGTGAAACCAAAGGTTCAACATCTCATTGTGAAAGATGGACATCTGTGACTGACACAGAAGGGATGTCTAAAGAAATAGAAGAGGCTACCAGAAATCATGACTGGGCCAGCCAAAGCATAGCAATTAGAAAGACCCAGCTAGTGATGTCACAAATGAGAGACATGACACAGGGGAGAAGGACAAAGAAGGTATAAATAAAGAGGTTGGACCAATCTTGACTCATAACATTGGCAGCCAGATATGCAGAATTCAGGATCAGGGAGTAAAAGAGAGGATGTTTGACACTGAAGGGAGTCACAAAGGTATCAATTAGATGATACTCATAGTAGGAACACATTTCCTAAAACACCAAAGAATGAAAATACTTTTCTGTAGGAAAGATAATGATTGGGATACTGATAGGAATGTACCACTCCTCTGAGATGATGGAGGTGTCCAGACTTGCCCCAATCCAGAAGGAGAAAGTTTGGGTGAGGAGGGAGAAGGGAAATACTCAAAGCAATCAAGCAAACACAAAAGAGGGTTGGAGAGATGAATGGAAAGCCACAACAAATACCAGGACATGTACCACTGATCACTCAGGGTCCAATAAAAGAGATATTTATGGGTGTGCCTGAGAGGGATAAGAGCCCCAAGGAAAGGCAGAGCCACCCAACACAAGAAAAATTCTCATGTAGGTAGAGTAGGGGACCAAAGAGCCAGCATTTCCATGGTGCGATGATGCAAAGGTGGTGGTTACGCCAGTCCTGCATGCAAATTGAGGAAGAGGCCCAAACTGACAAAATACTGAGTGGAGATCAAAAAGACAGATGGAAATGAAGCACTTAACTAGCCAACATAGATAAGATGCCTCCTACAGGAGGTGGAAGGTTGTCTCCAGAGACACCTTTTGAGATGGAACCAGTTGTCCATGTAATAATGGAAGTGAAGACCTAAATAATCCATCCACCAAACATATGCATGCATAACCCAACTAAAAATTTAAAGGACCACGGCTTACCTAAAGGGATAAGCCTGGAACTGAAAACTGATTGTTGTGGTCAAATCTGAAGAAACGATGACATGGCAGACAACCTGGAATGTAAAGAAATGCTTTGGTCATGCACAACCTGGGATACAATTCTCACTTTAACTAAGAAAACTGTCTCTCTTGAATAAAGGAATACCAAGAAAGTGTTTCAAGGACAATGAATCAATGATGGTGCTAACTCCCAACCATCTATAGGATGACAAAAAGTTGGGAATAAATACTTTGGGCAGGGTGG